GTGTTGGGGATGCGCTCCATGATGCCGTCGTAGAAGATGCCTTGTGGCCCCCTCTGCCCGCCGCGCCGGGGCCGGCCGCAGCGCCCGCCGCGCCCCCGCCCGCGCCAGGCCCCCAGCCCCGCGGCGGCGCTGGGGGCGCGGGGCCGCCGGGGGGGCGCGGCGTGTACATCCGTGAGTTCCGCGCGGCCGAGCAGGAGGCGGCGCGCCGCATCTTCTACGACGGCATCATGGAGCGCATCCCCAACACCGCCTTCCGCGGCCTGCGGCAGCATCCGCGCACACAGCTGCTCTACGCCCTGCTGGCCGGTCAGTGCGCTGGGGGCCCCGGCGCGCTCCGCCCGGCCCCTCCGGGAACAGTTGCGCCGGGCGCCCTCGGCCCCGCTCGCCCCCACTTCGGGGCCCCGGCCTGGCAGCGCTCCCGTGCCCGTCCGGGACTCGGCCTGGGAGGGAAGCGGGCCCCCTCGGGGGGCCCCCTCGCTCGCGCCCCGACGCGCACCCGCGCGCCACCGGTTTTCTGCAGCGGCCTGGGGCGAGGTGGCCACCGGTGGTGGCGTCTGGGCTCCCGGCCAAGGGGCGCCGGGCGGGGTCGTGGGAACAAGCGCTGGCGGAGGGGAGGGGGCTGCGGGCCGGGAGAGGGCCGGGGTCGCCGCCCGCGTTCCCATTCTGTGCGGCCCCGCCGGCCCGGTCCCTTCCCGGGTCATCGCGGGTGGGGGCGGGGTGGCGGCAGGTAGCGCCCGCGGCTGAAGCTCCGCGCCTGGCGCGTGAACTATATATAATCCGCGGGGCGGGGGAGGCTGCCTCGGCTGCTCCAAGTGCTAATTTATGAGGGGAAGACAGCCAGCTCCCCGGGGTGCCGGGGGAGGGCGAGCGCCGAGGAGGCAGAGTGAGGGGGCGGGGGGTGGCAGCCCCCGCAGGGGCTTTGAAGGCATTTCTCCCGAAGCCCCGGAGGGTGGTTGTCCCCATTTCACAGGTGAGGAGCTTGAGGCTGGGGCTTGTTACTTTACCAAGGTCATGCAGTAAAAGTGACTTTTGCTATAGGTTTGTGGGCTCTGGCAGCCCTGATGAATCTGGAAGCAATCTCCGGCTTCCCTCCCCCCGTCCCTCCGGGCCCTCCTCATAACCCCGTGCTGGCCCTGTGGAGAAGGTGGTCCTGGGGCCTTCTGCTGGAAGGTGTCCCTTCCCTCTCCCACTTTTGCAGTGGTGAGACAGCCTGCAGGGGCCTGGGAGCTTCCCGTCTGGCTAGAGTGGCAAGAGTGTATGCAGAGCCCCTTCCAGGGATGGGGCCCCCCAACCCTGCCTGGGGCTGTTGCCCCTGGCCATTGAGGGCAGCCTGCCCAGAGGCCCCTGCTGTGCTCAGGACGTTCAGAGGTCCTGTGATGTCAGACTCCCGATCAGCCTGCCTATAGGGTAGCGAGTTTGGGAATAGGGCAAAGCAGCAGGAGCAGGCAGGCTGGCCCAGCGCTCCTCCAGGGAGACAGTCATGGCACCTCTGGCAAGGCCTCGCTGCGCCTGTGTCTGGCTGGCATATTTAGCAGGGAGCCGGCAGGTGGGGGGTCCCCCGGTTGGCCGGGCAGGTGTCTGCCATTCACTGGGCCGTCCTCCCCCTGCAGTGCTGTGTTTCGCCCTGACCCGCTCACTGCTGCTGACGTGCCTGGTGCCAGCCGGGCTGCTGGGCCTCCGCTACTACTACAGCCGGAAGGTGGTCCTGGCTTACCTGGACTGTGCCCTGCACACGGACATGGCCGACATCGAGCAGTACTACATGAAGCCCCCGGGTGAGCCTTCCACTCCAGCCCCATCCTGTCCCCTCCCCTCGCTCCTCTTACCCTTGTGCAGCCCCTCTTGCTGGGGGGCTGCCCTAACCCCAAGCACCTTGGACAGACAGGCCCCGGGGGGCAGGGGTGAGGGGGGATGGCCAGGCCTTGGTGGGCCCAGGCTGCTGCACCCCTGGGACGTGCCTTCGGAGTCAGGGAGAGCTCTGGCTGCGGGTTGGGAGTGCAGCAGGCAGGCAGGGCCGGGGGGCAGGGGTGTCGGCAGAGCTAGGTCCTGGGTGCTGAGGCAAGGCCCCTGAGTGTGCACCCAGACAGACCCTGGGCCTCTGTCCTGCATCCTGGGAAGAGGGGCTGCCACGTGTCCCGGCTCTGCTCTCCGTGCTGATTGCACGATGCGTTTCCCTAGAGCTCGCGGAGGGGCTGGGGTCTGCCGTGCTTTGCCAGGGGTCGGGCTGGCCTGGAGTGCAAGGCGCAGAGGGCTTCCTGGTGGGAAGAGGGTTCTGGGGGGTCTCTGAGGGCTGGGAGCCCTGGAAGAGCAGGGGTGTTGAGTCCCCACTTCTGGTCTCGGGGCCACTCAGTGAGGCAGAGGGTCTCGGCCCAGCGCCCTGGCCTTCTGTACAAGGAGGGGCTGGTTCTGGTCTGGAGCCGCCTGCAGCTCCTTGGGGGCTGTTCCGGTTGTCCAGGCTGAGCCCAGGGCAGGCCAGGTCCTAGGAGGCCGGACCCCAGGGTTTCCTTCACGTCCGGAGCCAGAGAAGGGAGGCTTTGTCTCTGCCCTCTGGGATATGAGGGTGTCCCAGGTGCCGGAGGGTTCCCAGACTGGGGAAATGGAACAGTGTGGGCCCCAGCAGTTGGTGAGGGCATAGAGGAGCCTGCTTAGGGCCACAGAAGGGCAGTGGGGGACAAGAGAGGCATGGCATACCAGTGCAGGGGTGCCCCACCTTGGCACTGCCGGCTCCCATGCCCGCTGGCTCCCAGTGAGCCGGCCCATCCTGTGGTACCCTGCCTGCCCTCCCATTCCCACCGCTGCCAGGTTTTGGCACCTTGGGTTCTCTTCGACCCTCTCATAAGCTTGAACTCAGCTTCTCAGCCTCCATGGAGTTGCCAGGGACAGGAGGGAGCGCAAGTGCCAGCCCCACCTCACTGCTGCCCAGGTCCAGGCTGCTGAAGCAGAAGGGGGCTCAGGGTGGGGGCCAGGGGCAGCATGAGGACCCTGCTCTTCCTGGGCTGCAGTCTCCCTGGGTGTGGGGCGGCGCTCGCCCTCCTGGGACGCCTGCTAGGTTGCAGGAAAGTTCCACTGAGGCAGGGAGGCTGGACCGCAGTGGCCAGGGCCAGGCTGCTCAGGGTGGGAAGACTTGGTCTGGCCTAAGTGTGTGAGGGGAGCCAGAAACCCTGGCTGGAGGGCAGGCCAGCTATCGGGGGGGGTCCATTGGGGCAGCAGACCCTCAGCCACTGCCGAGCTCGGGGTGAATGCCAGGTCTCCAGGTATGGTGGTGAAGGGGACAAGGGCCCCTCCTGCCCAGCTGATGACAGCAGACAGGACAGTGGGGGACCCTTGGGGGTTGGGTGGAGGGGCAAGGTCAGGTGTAGAACCTTGATGGGGGAGAGTATGGCAGCTTAAGGAGAGCAGGTGGGGGTGGTTGGTGGCAAACACTTCTGTGGGGGTTGGAGTGGCCGTGGGAAGGGCGAGTGTAGCACCCCTGTTGGCCAGCCTCTGCTCCTGGGGCCCCTAGGCCAATAGTCAGCAGAGGTGACCAGACTCTCATGCCCTGCAGGCCTCCCCACCCACTTTCATTCTCTCTCTTCTTGCTTCTCTCATGATCCCCCTTTGGCCATCCTCTTCCTCTCCCTGCCCTGTGTGGGGCTGTGATTGGGTGGGGACAGCTGGCCTGGCCACTGGACTCCTGCCCAGGAGAGGCCAGGGTCAGTGGGAGGTATGCAGTGGTGCCTATCCGTTCCAGTTCTCCACTTGGACCGTCCTCGGAGCCTGCCAAGGGACTGCTTCTGTGCCCCGATCCAAGCAGGCCACGGGGCTCCCAGGCTCCTCCTAACCCAGGAGCATGGTGGCCACAGGACCTCCTGAAGCCCCTAGGGCATGGCTCCCAGAGGGATTCTGCTGCCCTGGCCTGTCCTCCCAGGCCCCCCGAAGTCTCCATTGTCGGGGTCCTTCTGGAGGTCCTCTTGTGGCACCTCTCTAGCTCCTTGGTATAGATGCATGGGGACAAGTGTGGTGGACCCTGAGTGGCTGGGAGCCAGGGCCTGTCCGTGGCCATCCACTGCCCATCCAGGCATCGGCTCAGGGGTAGCTGGGCAGAGGAGGGGTCTGCATGGCTGAGTGCCCAGCTCTTGGCCACTGAGGGAGGGACTCTGGCCCTGGAGTTCTTGGCTGCCTGGCCTCCGGCCCAGGGCAGGGGCCTCTGTGGATGATAGGCAGGTTGGGCCCAGCTCTTTCTGCACCGAGGGCCCTGGAGGGGCGGCTTTGTCATGCCGCAGCCCTGACTGCCATGTCCCTGCAGGCTCCTGCTTCTGGGTGGCTGTGCTGGACGGCAACGTGGTGGGCATCGTGGCGGCACGGGCCCACGAGGCAGACAACACGGTGGAGCTGCTGCGTATGTCCGTGGACTCACGTTTCCGTGGCAAGGGCATCGCCAAGGCGCTGGGCCGCAAGGTGCTGGAGTTCGCGCTCATTCACAACTACTCGGCGGTGGTTTTGGGCACAACGGCCGTCAAGGTGGCCGCACACAAGCTCTACGAGTCGCTGGGCTTCAGACACATGGGCTCGAGTGACCACTACGTGTTGCCTGGCATGACCCTGTCGCTGGCCGAGCGCCTCTTCTTCCAGGTCCGCTACCATCGCTACCGCCTGCAGCTGCGCGAGGAGTGAGCACTGCCTGCCCGCCCGCCGCCCACCTGCCGCCCGGCCACCCCGTCCACCCGTGCCCGCCTGCCCACCACCCGGGCCTGCTTGCAGGCGCTCCCCTTGGTGTTTGTGGTGGGTGTTTCCTTTCCACCATCACGCGGTTCTCCAGCTGGCTTTCTGGGGGGCGTGGGGCCGCGGCTCCTCTGTGACACTCTTGGGACTGGTTGTGTGTAGCCCCGGCCCCTCGCCCCCTGACCCCCCCAGCCTGCTGGGGCTGCGTCCTGAAGAGTGACAGCATGGACCGCCACGGGCCCACGTGGCTGCTCAGCCTGCGCGTGGGGTCCCTCCAGGCCCACCGAGCACAGAGCCTCTGTGGCACGGCCCCCACCCGGCAGATCCCCGGCCGCCAGCCAGTTTGTGGTCCCGGGAGGCCATACCTGCTGGGCTGGCTGGCCACTGGCCCGCGGGGCACCGAGCTGGCCACGGGCCCCGCTTCGCTCCGTGCATGCTGAGGACATGGCCTGGCTGCCGCATGCCCACGGCCCTCTGCCCTGCCGCCCCGCTCAGCCTGGGCCGATACCGGGCAGTGCCCCCGCCCAGCCTGCCAGCCAGCCGTGGCCGCCCACCTGCGCTCGGGAGGGCTCGCCCGCCTCTCACCACCCCTGCTGCCCCCATCCCAGCTCTGCTTTGACACTGAATCACGTTTCTTTCCTTTTGGTCCCTGCCCCTCCCCCACCCGGGCTTCACTGATGGCATCATCATCCCGGTGTGGTCCCCGCAGCCACCTGTGGCCCAGCCTGGTCAGGTCCTTCAGGAGAGCAGGGTGGGGACGCAGTGGTGCGGTCACCTCCCCCCAGGCCCAGGTGGATGATGGTGGCCTTTCCCGGACCTCCCCGAGGACCGCTCTGCCTCACGGCTCATGGGCTCTGCTCTGTGAATCTTCCTAAGCCAGGCCGCTGGCCACACCACCGAGCCCACAGCTTCTCCCAGCCTGAAACCGACCTATTTTTTAATAAGTTATTTAGACAGAATAGCACTCTGCATGACTTTAATTCTTGGGACAAAATGGTAGTTGATACCTTAACACACACGCGCGCGCACACACACACACACACCTGTGTGGTCTAGAATATGCACTATTTCTGGCCCAGTTTGGTGGGGGCGGGTGGCTGGGTGGGTAGAGGGTTTCAGATTATGAAATCTGGAGCGAGACCTGACTTAGCATTCTTTCCCTCAAAGAGCATTTCTGGTCTGTGAGGAGGCTCTGGGCTGCCCCCGTCCAGCCTCGACTTGTGGGACAGAGGTCAGCAATGGCGGCAATTTCCCTGCTGACCCTGGGAGGAGTGAGTGCTGTCCACCTTGGCTGGGGGGCGGGCGTGGCAGCGTGGCCGTGCTCCTGGCCTCTCCTTTCAGGGTGGGAGGTGGTGGTCAGGTGTGGGGTCGCCTGGGTGGGTGGAGGAACGGGGTCGTTGGCAGTGGCCACATGTCCAGCTTGTGAGCCTGGACCTGGTCGTGGTGGCAGGAGGGCCGTTGGTGCCCACTGAGGCCCCTCTATTTCGGGAGCTGGGAGAGGGGGAGTGGCAGGCACAGTGGGCCATGCAGCTGGGTCCCACGTAGGGGACACAGAGGGGACATTCTCAGGCGCTTCGGGAACAAGCAAATGCATGAAGTGAGCCCAGTGTCCCGAGGGGCCTTTCTTGCTGTCTGCAAACGAGATATTCGTAGAACATTGTACAGACCCCGCTCTCCCCTGTACATTTCTCCCTGGTGGCGTCCGGTCCCTGCTTGGGGACGGGGGTTTTGTAGACTGTACAGAAATCGGCACCCTATTTTCTTGCAGCTCTCAGATTTTGTTAATCTGGATTATACAGACAGACGTAAAGTGTTTTAGCAAAATGGAAAACAAACAGTTGTGCCTTTTTCCTCTTTCTGTTTAGTTTGGTTTTGGCTTGGGGTGGCCTTGGCTGGCGTTGGGCATATTGGGGGCTGCGGCTGGTCTGAGGCCTGGTGGGCCAGGTAGGACAGGTGGGTGCCACGTGGGCCCAGCCTGGTGGGCACTGTCTTGTCAGTGGGAGCCTGGGGGTGCTGCGGCTTCCGTTGATCCTGTGCCTTTGGAGCCTGGGGTCCCTGGTGTGGGGACATGTGGGTGGGGGCTGGAGCTGCCAGCATCTGTGTGACATTGGCCAAAGCACGTGGCCCCAGTTGCTCCTGGGCAGACATGTGGCCCTCCCCTGTCCTACTGGTGTCTGTTCATGTAGGATCTATGGGCTGGGGTAGGGGTCTGCAGTGTCTTTCGCAGTCTGGTGGCCCAGGGTGGCCTGTGGCACCGGCTGGGTGCACCCTATGCTTGGGACAGGGCCTTTGCCTGGCCCGTGTGTGGCTTGGCAGCCCCCAAGATCACCAGGGGAGCAGATCCCCCATCCTTTCCCGGGGCCAGAGGCTGGGCACACTCGTGGGGGATGCCTATCCCTGGCTGGCCACTTCCCTCCAGACTGGGAGCTAACTCCTCCACAAACGTGCACCGAGATGTGAATTTTATACATTTGTAGAAATTCTGATGTTACTACTTCTACCTCTGTGAAGCACCTGCCTGGGTTTCCACTCAGTGGTGTGTCTGGGCAGCTCTCTGCACTGGCAGGCCCTGCCCCCCCCCCCCCCCCCGCCGCTGGCCTCCTGGGCCTCCCCCAGTGGTTCCTGCTGAGGCCTTGAGAAAGCAGGCCCCCAGGCATGGCCCCCATGCTCAGGAGACAAGGCTCCTAGGACTTTTGGAAGCCTCTGTTTTTGGATGGGAAAACGGGGGGGTAGAGTGTTCCAGAATGTTTTTGTTGGATGAGCCTGGAACACAAGCCCAGCGGGCAGCTCGGGGCAGTGGGATGCAGGGCAGCTGAGACCTCTAGCCTCTCGGGATGGCCCAGCGTCACCATTGTTCCTGGAGCAGCACCCACTGCCCAGGGAAGGGGTCTGAGGAGAGCTGGGGTTGTCTGTGGGTGCCGAGGTTGTTCCCCTCTCCCCTGTACCCGCATCTAGCCAGGCCTCCCATTGCTCCCCTTGGGTGAATAGGGCAGAGAGATGGGCCAGCCTGTCTCAAGGAAGGGGGGGGGGTGGCCCTAGAGCTGGGCTGAGGACACAAGGTCCTTGGGCAGCCCTCATTCTGGCCTGGGTGTCCTTCCTCAGAAAAGACCTTTCCAGGGGACAGGCTGGGGGCTGCTCTTCACATGGCTTCCTTGGGAATCTGGCAAGTGCTCGGGAGGCTCTTGGGCCACAGCGAGTCATGCTGGCAGTGTGAGTGCCCACCCCTACCTGCCCCTGCCCCCCAGCCCGCTCCTGCCCACCCTGCCCTGTCCCTGCCTGCCCCTGCCACCCTGGCCTGCCCCTGCCTGCCCTGTCCTGCCCCTGTCTGCCCTGGCCTGCCCCTGGCTGTCCTGGCCTGCCCCTGCCCACCCCTGCCCGCCCTGGCCTGCCCCTGCCTGCTCTGCCTGCCTTATGTGGCTTTGAGCCTGGGCCCCTCACTGGGCTGGGCCAGGTCAGGGGCTAAGCAGCAGAGCCACCCCCCTGTCTGTGTCCAGGGAATGGCTGACAGTGGTCCTTGAGCCTTGGGAGCCTGGCCCCCCTCCCCAGCAGGTGGGCAACATGGACCCTGTGTCCATTTGAAGCTGCTTTCATGACTCTGTTTTGGCCACATCCGGTGTTCCTGTGCCGGTGGGCCTTTGGCTGAGGCCTTCTGGGGCTTGTGTTCTGGGCTGGGTGTGGGGCAGATCCTGGAATGTTTGCTCTTTGGTGCCGTGGGTGGGGCAGCCCAGGGCCTGGGGTGGGGGAGGAGGGACCCCAACCTGTCATTGTTGGATGTATTTTTTTTTAACAGCAATAATTAGCCATTTTGAAGAAGGGGTGTGTCTGTGTGTGCGTGCCTGTGTGTGTGTGCACCATGCACGTGCGCACACACGTGTATGTGTGCTGTGTGCATGTGTGCACTCATGCCTGTGTGGACCTGCACATGTGTGCACATGAGTGTAAGTGCGTGGTGACAGGGAGGGGACCTCCTGCTGCTACACGCATGGGCCAGCGCTCAGCCCCATGCTGAACGGCAGGGTTCCAGCTAGGTGCTGTGCTTCCTTCTCCCAGGCCTGCCCCGGGGCCCAGGGGACCTTGAATGTAGTGCCCCCCACCCCCCGTGGAGGGCGCTGGACAGGTCTGTGGGAAGTGGGGGGCCCAGGATGAGCCTTTGCCTGGGTCTCTGGGTGTGTAGGGGGGCTGGCGGGGGGTGCACACTCAGCCAGACCAGCCGAGATCACACATGATGACGCAGTGTCCCCTGGGTCAGGCTGTTGGACCACAGCTGCTGCAGATGCTGTGTCTTTGGGTGAGCAGAGCGCAGATCGGGTCGTGGTGGTGGGGTACACTTCCTGTGGCTTACTGTCAATGAGCCCACGATTGTGGCAACTGTCCTGAGACCCCTGGGTATGCCAGAACCCTCCAGAGGGGCGGAGGAGACAGGCCATGGGGCCAGGGTGGGGTGGGGGTCTCTGGCTTCCTGTGGGTGTGTGAGCAGTGGCGGGGGTGGGGAGTTGCTGTGGGCCCGGCTGCCTACTCGGCCCCCAGTGCTGCTGTTTTTCAATAAAACCAGAGTTGTCGGAATCGGACTCCTGTGAGTTCTTGAAGCGCCCTCGCCTGGCACTTGGCCAGGAAGGGCTGCTTTTCTGGAGATGCTGGGCTCCTCCTCGGGGGCAGGTGTGGGTGCCGGGGTGCCCTCTGGAGCCAAGGCCACTAGCCCTGTGCTGGCCACCTTGGCCGGGCTTCACCTGCCCACTTGGCACCTCCAGGGAGCAACTCAGGTCTGAGGGGCCCAGGCAATGGTGGCAGGCCCACCTCCCTCCTGAGGTCTGTGAGGGAGGATGACATGGGGGATGGTGCTGGGGACAGTGAGGTGTTGTCCAGCCCCAGACAGCTCCCCGCGGGGGCCTTTCCATTGTGGGAGGAACAACCTCTGCTCATCCCATCCCCAGGGTTGGCCTCCTGCTGCAGGGAGGGCTTTGGGCAGGCCCTAGGATCACTGAAAGCAACGTCTGGCCTTGCAGCCTGTGGGGCTGGCTTCTACGGGCAGCTCACTCTGACCCTCACTACTGGGGGGCACGAGCTGTGTTTGGACATCAGCCTGGGGCTAGTGTGCAGCCCAGCAGTGGCTGTGTCTCTGAGCTGACCACGTGAAGACAGGCCCCTTGTAGGCAAGGCCACCCACACGTACACAGGCGCAGGGACATGCAACACACGCCCACGGCTGGCATGGAGGGGTCCAGCTCTCCAGATTCTAGAACGTTCCATCACACAGTGGTCAGGCCTGGCCATACAGATGCTCATGCAGCCCATGAAGACAGTGACAATACCTTGAGGCCACGAGAAAAGTAGGGCTGGGCACAGTAAGAGAAGTGGGCTCCGCACAGGAGGCTAAAGCCCAGCTACCGCCTACCTGAGCAGCTCTGGTGCCTGCTGGAGGGGGTGCCTCGCACATGTCCCCCAGCCCAACAGGTGCTGCGTGGGTCCTCAGAACCCAGACAGGGAGGCACGCGGGAGAGGAGACCCTGGGGTGCCTGGATGACCTGGAGGCCGGACCCACAGGGGACCTTTGCAGGGCTGTGCAGGGGAGGCAGCTGAGCAGAGGTGCAGGAATGGCTGGGCACCGACTACCCAAGTGGGCTTGTACAATGATGTAAACTTTCCGTCCCTCCATGTCCCCACTGCGCAAGGGGAGCCACCGTGAGGCTGTTGGGGTGCATGGTCTGGGAGAGCCACTTTGAGAGGAGAGTCGGAGAGCTGGCTGGCTCCCAGGGACTGGTCGGGCCAGCAGGAGGTTCGTGGGAAGGCTGGGGGCACCCAGGAGCACTCACTCCAGAGGCCCGGACGGCCTGCCCCCAGCTAACAGCACAGAAACCATGCCCGCCCCTCTGTGCTTGTTCTCTGCACCTTGGCGGCCATCAGCGAGGCCTGGGAGGAAGGGGCTCTCCTTGGCTTCGGGGAGCTCTGGCCGGCAGGGAGGGCCTCCAGGCTGCTGACAGTGCTAAGTGCTGAGCAGCTGTGGACCTGGTGGAATGCAGCCTGGGCTCTGTGGGAGAAGGGCCGGGAGCCCCCGCTGTGGGTCGGGCAGGCCACTCCTGTCTCAGCCACTCAGCTCTGGGCCAAGCAGAGTGGATCAGGGGTGTGGGCATGGCATCTCCCATCCACCAGAAGAATTCATTTCACAGAGACTTGACCTGCTTTGAAAAGGCTTTTACTCCGAGGGACAGCCCAGGGGGTGGATGTGGCCCTCTCTACCACCGGCTCTCACTGGGAGCCCATGCAAAGCGCCCAGTGCTGACCTTGGGGAAGGCCACACAATGGACTGGTGGAAACCAGTTCTCTCCTCCCACTGTTGCCTGGGGCTACAGACAAAATGAAGGCGAAAAATGCACGCACCAGGTAGGTGCTGACAAGGGGGCTGGCGGTGGCAGGGTGGTTGCTTGGAGACTCAGCGGGACGTGGGCTGGGCCGAGGGCCCGGGGCCCTCCTGCAGTGGCACCAAGTGGCCCCATGACTGGCCAGCACTCAGGCTCACCTTCAGGGGCACCTGTGGGCGGCAGCGGCAGTCAGTTCCAGTTCCAGGCTCGCCCTTCCCCCAGGTGGGCAGGGGTCCCAGCGCCAGGCAGCCACTTGGCCCGAAGACATGATTCGACACAGCTACACACTCACAGGGACAGGCAGACAAGAACCCCCAGACCCTAATACCCCAACTGTGGCTGAGCTGCTCAGTTGACCTGCCCAGGCCTCTGCCAGGGAGCAGGCCTGCAGGTGCCTTAGGAGAGAGATGCCAAACGGGGTCTGGGGGAGCCCTCCCAGGGACCCTAACCCTGAGTGGGAACTTGCCAAGGCCCTGGACCATGGTGCAACAGCTCCCTCTCGACAGGGAGGGAGGATGGGAGCTGCCAGTTGCTGCGGTCCCCTGCCGGCTCTGGCTCTGTTCCCTGCAGGACTGAAGGTGGGGGTTGGGCCTCCGGGAACCACAGGGCAGTGGAGGGGGGCAGCAGTCTGGAGGCTCGGGGGCTGCCTGTGCCCTCCATCCTGTCTCTTGGTCCCCTGGGAGCTGGACTCAACTCTCCGGTCTGGTAGGCACTGGCCGTGAGTGGCCAGTTGGAGGGAGCCTGCAGAGCTGCATGGGACCCGCCTGCCTCCCCGCCCCTTCCCCCTCACCTGCAGCTGCAAGGCCGGCACATCCCGCAGGGCCTCCATGGTCCCCCTGACTAGAGCTGGAACAGAGGGAAGAGGGGGAGAGGGGCAGCCCTAAGCCCTCTGGACAGAGATGGGGCTGTCATGGGAATGCCCAGGTCCCAGCCCTGTCCTGGCCCCCAGGCTCTGCAGTTATTCCCTGAGTCCACACGGCCAGCCACGCTGGTGGGTCCGGCAGCCCTGGCATCACCTGTGGCTGATGCCACTGGCCACACGCCCAGCACAAGCCTGATGGCACCTCAGCTGCCCCAGCCGTGGTTGCTGAGCAATTCCCCCCAGCCCCAGGCTCAGCCAGTGGGGGCCTGGGCAGTGGGGGGTGCTGGGGGCCTCTAGCTCTGTCCAGAGGCTTTGGGGCTGGGAGGAGGAGGGAACGTTGGGCCATCCTGGCTGGCACAGCGCGGGCAGGCGGACCCATGCTCCCACCAAATGCCCATGAACTTGCATGTGATGGTAAAGCCTGGAAGGTCAGCTGTGTGGTGCTGGTGGGCTGGGCCGGCCGTGTGGCCTCAGTTGCCCTCTAGCCCTGAGACAGGGAGCAGCCCAGGCAAGGGAGGGGTCTGCTGGCTCAGTGTTTCTCTGAGTTTGCTCAGAACACTTTGTCTCTTTGATCAACAAATATTTCATTCCATCCTACTAAGTTATCTACAATTTTTGATACAAAGATTGTGACAGAAAGACCCCTTGAAGGAGTGGTTCTCTCCTCTCTGGCTGCGGGCTTAATGGGCCAGCTCCTTGGGGACCTGTCTCTGGGTGCCTGGAGTGGGCCAGTGGCTACTAAGGGCCGTGCACCTGAGCTCCGTGACCTTGTTTCCTTCTCTGTGCTGTGTAGATGGTTGTGGGGGGTGGGGTGGGCAGGAGGTTGGGCCAGAGGGTTGCTGGGTCCCTGGGAGGGAAGCATGCCCCCCACCCCCAGCCTGGGCCACACTGGGGAGTGCAGGGGTGTCCAGGTGCTTCCTAAGGGTGGAGGCGGGACCCTGGCCCCTCCCCCAGCTGGGGAAATACCAGCTATGCAGGAAACCACCCCACCAAGAGAGGCGGTCCCCACGGTAGGATGGAGTCCGCAGTCTGGGACCAAGGGCCATAAAGCCAGCAAGTCCAGAAGGGGAGTCCGCATTATCTAGGAGCCCAGATGCTGAGGCAGGCCCCACAGGGAGAACTGGGGCGTGGCCAGGGTGGGGCAGGTTCACTCAGCACAGGGCAGGGAGGGGCAGCCAGAGTGGTGTTAGCTTTCTGAGAAGTGGAAGGTGCTGTGTGTGGCCGGCTCACCTGCAAACTCAGGAACCTGTGGCTCTTCCACCTCAAATAGCAGCTCGTCGTGAAGCTGGGCGACCAGCCTGCAAGACATGGCGGGGGCAGGGAACACCCTCAGCTGTGGCCTCTCGTGGCCACTACGGAAGCCTGTGACACAGGGCTCTCCAGATCATGTGACTGGGTGGGGCATGGGACACCCAGCAGGACTGGATGAAAACATCTCCCCACAAAGTGGAGGCCGGTGGACCTCAGCACATCCTGCTTAGGGGCCTTGGGAGGGCTTTAGGTCAAGTGCCAGGGGCCAGCAGGGGCGCACGTTCTGTGGAAGGTGGGGTCTGGGCTGGCATAGGTGCTCTGGGACGATGATGCCTGCAGGGGGCTGTGGCCTGGGACGGAGGAAGGTGGCTTGCCCTGTGCACTCAGGGAGGGGAGGCGTGGTGCAGATGAACCCACAGGGAATGTCGGAGGGGGGGACCTGTGTACTCTGCCCTTTGTGTGACTTGCTGAGCCCAGGACTGAGCCTTTGAGGTCAGAGGCCACGTCCGAACCTTGTCACTTTGCAGATGCGGTGTGGGAGGAACGAGATGGCAGGCAGAGACACTAGGAAAGCTGGGCTGGAGAGGTGTGCAGAGGCCCCCCAGGATGGTGGTCCCCTGGACTGCAAGCCCACCTGGGAGAGGGAGCCGCACTTCCTACCGCAGGGCAGAAGTGAGCGCTGCCCGCAGGGGCCCACAGAGTCCATCTGTCTGCCTCTGCCTGCAGGGAGAGGATTTGCCCGACCTCCAGGCCGCCCTCTAGAAGCCAGAACGGGTTGGAGGCAAGAAGGTGGGACCTCCACTCCCACGGGATCTTCGTGTTCAAGGGGCAGAAACTTTCAGGTTTAGCAGCAGCACAGTTCACACTTCTTGAAGTGACACCGTGAGTTCTGAGCCGCCAGTGTGGCAGCGACCTAAGAATAGGCCTGAGTCGTTAGTCACTTACACACCGCTCCCACAGCTGCCAGCTATATTCCTGGACTTCCAGCTGGAAACTGGGACACAAAGACGCAGAGACACACCCGTGTGGGGTAGCTGAGCGCGTGGGTCAGACCCCGCTGTTTCCGAGCAGTGGCTGCCTGCTGTCCCGCTGTCCTCTCGACGCTCCTGTGAATGAGGGCTGCAGCAGAGCCCGACACCCTGGCCCTGTCAACAGCCTGTCACCACCCGCAGCCTTCCTGCTTGGCCCCTCCCAGCGTCAGGAACAGCCCCATTGCTGCCCGGCCAGCTCACAGAGCCCAGGCTCATCCAGGCTACTCCCCACTGCGTGGCTGAGTCTCTTGCCTCTCCTGGACACCCGACATCTTCTCTGCTCATTCCTGAGGCCGGGAGATGGTGTCGTGCCCCACGGTGGTGAGCCATGCCTGGCCAGGTGACCGGAGGTCAGAGGGCACCCCTGGTGGCCAGGAGATGGCCCTGTCTTCCACATCTTACCGACAGTCCCTGTACCCAAGGGCAAGGGAGCGGGGGAGGGTCTTGAGGAGGCGGCCTCCATCCAGAGGTCCAGAGCAGGAGAACTGGGTGGCTCTCCCGGGCCTCTCGGTGGCAAGGGCAGGGGCACAGCAGGAGCAGAAAGGGCAGCTCTGTGGCTCAGGTGGGGAGGCCCAGAGCTGGTCCAGCTCTGCACAGTCTTAGACATGAGTAGGCTCGGGGCCTTGGTTTCCCCTTGTCTATACTCAACGTCTCTGAAGCTTCTTTCTGGCTCTGACGTGTTCTGAATCTTAGAAAGGCCTTTTCACAGAGGCCCCATGTCCTGAGAGGCCGAGAGAGGATCCCTGAGAGCTGAGGGCTCTGCCAACAACTGGCAGTGGGAAGTTCGGAGGCCTTCGTGCTCTGGGCCCAAGACTGCAGGCCCCAGGGGCCTGGGGACAACTGGAGAAGGCTCTCTGGGCACTTACTCCGCTTTGCACAACCATGAGCCTCTGGTGATGCATCTCGTGTCCTCACATGTGGCTCATGGTGGCTTATTCTAACCTCGACCCAAAACTTCTCCTCTTGCTCCGGGAAGAACAGAGCAGAGTGGGAAAAGCCCCAGACTCCACACTGAACCGCTTCATGTTCTAACACATCTTGTCTGCTATGGGAAGCTTTTCCCAGGGACAGTGAAGCCTGAGAGGGGGCAGCGGGGTGCCAAACCCGGAGTGAGAACCATTTGTGCTGAGCTCTGGACTCCTCGAAGAAGATCCCGAGTGCTCATGGACCATCTTCCTTTATCAATCCCACAAAATGCCCAAATGGATCAAATATCTCTGGACTACGATGTCACAGAAGCAGAACTACCCTGCAGCCTTTGGTTCCGGCCAAGGTGGTGAGCTACACAGGCCTCTCCAGCCCCTTCTGAAATGGACCCTGTGGAAAGCACACCAGGGAGCCTGAGGGGCAGGGGACTGGAGGCCCAGCACTCACTGGCGTGTGGGGGGTTGGGGGTACAGATGGACATGGAGCAGGAGAAACCAAGAGGAAAGATTTCCCATTCTGCTTTCACACCCCACACCCCCGACCCTGCCCAGTGGTGGCAGAAACCAGAGACACAGCCCAGACCCCTGTGCAGGGCCAGGAAACTGAGAGCAACAGATCTGACCCCCGCCCGCCCTCTCTCCTCCCCAGGCCCAGGCTGGCGGCCACGGAGGCCCCCTCCTGAGGGTGGTTGGTCGGTGGGAGGCGGTGTCTGGGACAGGGGTTGTAGAGGAAGCTGTTGGGCGGCTCTGTGGGGCTTGGGGACAGTCCTGTCCCCGGTCCTTCACTAGGACGCCGCCCACAGTCTCTGCTAGGGCCTTTGCCCACTGCAAATTCTGCACAGAATTGCTGGAATTGCCAAAAGAACCCAGGTTCAAATATCAAAATGAACAATACGAAATCTGTGAAGTAGGAGAAGCCTTTTTAAGGAAAGATGAAGGACCTCAGATAAGGATGGAAATCACGCCTTGAGAAGTAGAACAGTATCAAAGCCAAGGTGGAACTCAGATGGAGAGGTCCTGCTGTGCAGGTGACCCCTCACCCTCGGTCACAAGCTGGAGACTCGGCCGCCCAGCCCTGTCACCTGGGAAGGGCTCGTCTGCAGGAACAGGCCCTCTCTGGCCCCGGAGCCCACCCCTAGCATGGCAAACACAAGTGTATGAGGCCTAAGCAGGGGTCAGGCCTTCTGGCTCTGACACACTAACTTCTCTAGGGGACTTCCAGAGGAGCGGCCAGGAAGGAGTCCCAGGGTTCTGGAGCAGAACACGCCCCCTGCCACCTGCACTGGTGCCAGGACCTCGGGCGGCTGTGAGGCTGGGCCAGCAGAGCCGGACAGGGGCTCCTTGTCACTCAGCCTCCTGGATGCTTGGCCACAGAGGCAGAGACAGAAACTGGATAGAGCTGTAGACCGGAGGCAGTGTAGCCTGTGGCTCTGTGGGCCGGGCTGGGTCTCCAGCACACTGGGTAGTGGCAGACACAGGCCCCGGGGGCGGAGTGGTGTGTGTGGTGGAGTGGAGGGCAGTGTGGAGTGTCTATGTCCTGACCTTGGGCTGGGTCCTCGGGTGCTCACACATACCTGGGGAGATGCATTTCCGCACCAGCTGAACCTGGCGAGACCTCCTCATGCCTGCAGGCAGGTGGTCCCTTGCTACTGCAGCAGCCGTGAGCTGGCCCCTGGGCACTTCGCTCAGCCCAAGCTGGGAGGCAGGGGCTGCTCTGGGAGTGCTGAGAGGAATCCAGGCTTGGGGGGCCCCTCTCTTTGGGGTTCATGGAAAGTGGAAGGCATTGCTTTGCTCCTGGGAGGTGCATGTGCGTGGCCCAGCCACGGTGTTGACCCACAGAACCACAGGCCTCCCACCTAAGCCCTTCTCAGGGTTAGGGGTCAGGCTGGGTAAGTGGCCACTCACTCACTGACCTGGCCGTCAGGGTAGGGGAAGCGGCCACGGCGGTGAAGACACGGATCATGGCCATCTTACAGAGGTCTGCAGCTGAGCCTGTGGGGACAAGGGGCTCTGTTTCACGAACGATGTGAGCTCCAGGGCCCTGCAGCAGGGTCTCAGCCAGCATGCTCCGCTGAGCGGGGCTGTCTTCATTCTCTAAGCTGTGGAATGCAGGACCCCATGCCTTAGAGCTGAAAACAGCCCAGATCTACCATCCCACAGTCCCTGCTGAGCAAGAACCCAGCCCATGAGCCTGGGTCCTCTGCTCCGGGCCTCACACCCAGAGATCAGTGTGCAACCTGACTGTGACCTCACCTGGAAGTTCAGTGAGGGAAGGCCCACTCCCAAGTGAACCCAGGTCATTAGCAGAGTTCATTTTGTGCCGTGCATGAGCAAGGTTCCTGTGTTGCAGCTGGCTGCCAGCTGTGAGCCGCGCGTTCGGCTGCTGGAGACTGCCCTCAGGTCCTTGCCGTGGGCCCTCGGTCAACAAGCAGTTGGCTTCTTCACGGCTACCTGAAGGGCTCCTGCTGCAGTGAGTCCCTGACTTTCACCCCTACGTGGTCTTTCAGGGGCCTGCCTGATGAGGTCAGGCCTGCTGTGGATGCAAACCCCCTTTCCCCTGTGGCTTGACCTAAGCATGGGGATGATATCATATTCACAGTTTCTGCAGAATCTAGAATCCTGCCCGCTACACCAGTGAATAGATTGACCAGCCATGCGGCTGCTGGACTTCATTGTGCTTGGCTCTCCAGTGGATCGCTTGGGGCTATGATAGCGCCGCCTGGGTTTGGGGAGGGTAGATCACGGGTCGAGGCTGTGTTGGGCACTCTGCAAGGTGCTGGCCGGTGTAGGGGACATGCCAATTCCAGTGCCAGACACACAGCAGGTGTCTCAGGCATGGGAAACATGAAGTCAGATTTCACAGTGGTTTGAAATTGCTTTAGCTCTTCATGGTTCCCAAGGTTCCCGAAGGGGTAAAGGTTGTTAGTCCGTGGACTGCCTTCCTCCACTGTGTGGCCAAGCCTCCGGAATATGGACGTCCCTTTCCTGAGAGTGTGGCAGGAATGCTGGACATGGAAGTCTGGCCTCTGAGGCCGGCCTGGTGGTGGTGAGGGGTCTTAGGTGGGGTGGGGGGCTGCCCTGGAGTGGATTGTCAGGAAAGGACATGGAGCTGGAGAAACAAGGATGGGGGAGGCGGGAGGGGTGTGTGGGGAAGGGGAGGTGGATGCATCACGGCTGGTTGTGTTGGCTGATGGGTCAGAGGCTGAATTTTCTCGTGGCACTGGCCACTGCTTGCTCCTGGCACCTAGTTCAGCTCACAGATTTCTGTTACATGGATGGACGGCAGAGACACGCGTGTGCAGGGAGGCCATATTCACGGTAGCTGGATGTCCTGGCTGGCCTCTCAAACAAAGGCGTCTCCTGTGCAGGACTTTCTGGAAGGGCTCTAACACAGCTTTGGCATCACTGAGCACATGTCTCACTCATATCCAGTGGACAGACATGCAGCTGTGGCCTGATAGCCTCCTACATGAAAACAGGCCATCTCAGGTGAGGGCTGTCACCGTCCTCAGCTCCTGTCTTGCCAGTCACGTGGGGCCACAGGACTTCTGGAAGATTCTATACTGAGCCCAGACCGATCCTAGCAATTGTCCTGCCAGCTGCCACTGGGCCTCCTGCTGTCCACACAATGCACGGGGGGCTGAGTCTGAACTCAGCGCTGCATGTCCCCTCTCTGCAGGACTCACGGGGACAGGATCTCCACCCTGCCCCCAGTCCAAGCTGTCTGCTACCCGTCTGCTGGGGTCCCTGGCCGCCTTCCTGTGGCAGAAACCCCCTCTGGGGGCAGGTGGTGATGTCCTGCCTCAGGCCTCATGTCTGGGCCCTGGAGGTCTCGGGTCCCCATCTGTGACCCATGGGTCACCAACAGGATGACACCTGACTCCCAGGCTGCCTGGGGCCTCCCTTGGACAGCTTGTGGCCCATGGTGTGTGGAGCCTGTGATTATCGCTCTCCCTCTCCACCTCTATGCAGAGATGTGAGCTACTGGGGGCTGTGGCTAGAGATGACAGAAGAGTCTTCATGACCAGGGCAGACCGCGTGCCCTCGGGCCTCCCAGCTGCCTGCCACTGAGGACCGTGGGTCCTAGGAAGGCCTGCTGGGTCTTGGAGGCCTTGCTGCAAGGTCTTACCCCTGCCAGGCATGACAGGCAAGACCGAAAGCCCCAGGCCAAGAGTACAGGGACTGAGATCCAGATCTCGCTCTTGTCCTGGCCAGAGAAACACCAAAAGCCTAAGGTCCAAAAGCCAGAGGTCGGGATGGTGTTGCCTGCCGGAAAAGCCCCCAAGTCCTGAGTGCCCACTGAAAGCCAAGCATTATTTTGCTTGGGCCTCCCCCATGATGGCCAGGGAGCACAGGAGCAGGGACTGGCACTCCGATAATCTGGGGGTGTCGCTTAGGCCTGTGGTGCCTGAGAAATCACGGCAGGTGGCCCGAGGGGCTCTGCATACCTTGCACCGCGAAGTTCACGGCCTGCCTCTCAGCTTGCGCCCGCAGCTGCTGGTCGTGTGCGTGGACCCGTGGCAGCAGTCTCCTTCTGCCCATGATGGATGCCACGTAGCCTGGGTCATGTGAGGGAGAAGAGGACACGAGGCAGAGATAAACAGGCTGTGCGGCGCCCTGGTGCTCACCTAGCCTCTGTGGGCACGGCCTCCCCCACCCAGGGTCCAGGGGCCCGGCAGGACCCCTCCTCACTGCAGCACTGACCCCGAGCTTGGTGGGGAGCTCTGCTCACTGGCTGCCCATCTGTCTTGGGGGCAAGTGGGTTCGTGGTGGGAAGCAGGACAGCCTAGTGGCGGCTCTCCCTCCTGACCTCCGGCTGCAGCCACAGCTGACAGAGGTCAGGGGAGGGCAGTTTGTAAAGGCTAAGAAAGGCCACTTGTGCGGCTCGGGTGCAGAGGTCCTTCTGGTCCAGGCAGCAGCCGGGATGGGGAGAAAGCATTCGTCTACCTTCTACTCAAGGAGAGAGCAGCCCTGCTCCCACGAGGATAGACCCAAGTTTTGTGGGGCCTGAAGTGTCATAATTTTGCAGTCCTCTTCTTTTCTTTCTCTTTTGTGGACCCCAACATGGGGCTCCATCTCAGGACACTGAGGTTACCACCTGAGAAGCTTGACCGCTGCCCGAGGTCCTCCTGAAGAAGACAGACACAAATACGCCGTGCTGGGTGAGTATTTTCCTGACCGTGAGGACCTGTGCTCTCTGAGGTGCTCGTGAGATTGAATCCGCACTCAGGATCTCACATGTCTGAGGAAGGGAAGACTTTCCCACGCATGTCACAATTACAGAAATGACAGCGTACGGGACATCCGCTGCACGCCAGGTGGTAACATCAAGTCTCCTAAGCAGGATGGGCAGTGAGGACAGGGAGAGCCCTTGCCTCCGCCTGAATTACTCAATCTCTGCCTCTTCGCGTGGTTTGTGGTTCTGGGCTGGAGGCTGCGTGCTGTGTATCTTTGCTGCCAAGCATCAGCTCTGCTGCCTTCCTTTCAAAGGTGTTTGGCGGGTCCGTCACTAGTAGGTCATCTGCTGCCTCTGAGGCCTGTGTTTAAGCTTCATCGGGGCAGGTTTGGAGGAGCCTTTAACCAGGGCCAGTTCAGACCCACGACTAGGGTGGGTCTCTTCTTGGCTCTCTCCTGCCCGTCGAAGATGTCCCACGAGGACTGTCCACTCCGAAGGTCAGAACGCACACAGCTAGCGCTGTATGGACTCTGAAACAATCCAACCTACTGCTTCCAGAAATCACTCCGCTTCATCGTGTAGGGTTCCCCATTCGGTGTGTGTGTCCCGGTTCTCAAAACCAGAGGTGTTCCTCTCCAGATTGGTGCAGTGCCTTTTCCGCTGGGCTCCCTGCTCTCTGGTTCTGTGAGTCTCCCATCCTGATCCTATCCCCTTCACTTAGTGAGACATCATAATCTGCTTGGGCTCCCTTCCTGCATGTGCTCGGGCTGCTCAGAGGCTCTAATGGAAAGAGGAGGGCACAGCCCATGATCCAGTATCTGAAACAGCTGTCCCATGCATTTGTCCAGCTTTCAAGTTGTTTATCGTGGGAGGAAAGTCTGAGCTCAGTGTGGCCCTAAGTTGAAGTCCCTGCCTCCACACACTCCAAATCTTGCTTCTGCTTCACCCAGTGCTCGCAGGGCTGGGCTCATCGCTCCCGGCCACACTGCGAGGTGACCCCCAGCCCTCACTTCATGTCACTGTGCTTAGGAAGTGGGCCAGGGGATGGAAGGAATGCTCTTCGAAGCCATTCCTGGGCCAGCACAGCCAGTGGCCCTCAATCACACAGGGATGGAGGAAGAGATCACAGAAATCTCCGCCCTGAAATCCGAATTAAATGGGTCGCCGACCTAGCTTCCCCTCAGCTGGACTCCCAGACCAGCTGCTGTCCCAGCCTGGGTGGAAGAGGCAGCCTCTCCATCTTGCTTTCATCAACTGCACAAAGGAGCAGATCACATGAACACCTGGCAGGGCCTCTCCCCAAGGCCCTGGAAGGGACCCGGGCCTCCTGCTCACAGTAGCCTGGTCCATCTGCTCCAGACCCAGCAGAGCGGGCGTGCCTACATGGAGAGCTCCACGCCTGGGGACCCGGGCCCCCCTCGAGTCTGCCGTCCGTGTTGCCTCTTCAGCGTCTCTTGCCTGCACTCTCCATCCAGTCCTCCTCAGATGTTGGCTGGAGGCCCCATGCCTTCAGACGGCTCCCGAGTCTCCAGCTCACACTTTGGCCTCCACTGCCAATCTTTCTCCCACACTTGTGAACTGATTTATGCAAAACAAACCCCGGGTTCTTCCTGTGGCCGGTGGTGTGCCCCCCAGGGTCTGGGCCTGCCGGCCTTCTCTCTGGCCTCCAGGCTACCCTGGCCTGCCTGTGCACCCCTGCGCTGCTCCAGGCCTTTCTGGCTAGGCCTGTGGTGGCTCAAACTTCACCCCAGCAAGGCCAGGGTGCACGGTGCTCTCCAGGGGCCTCCCTCCACCACTCCCTGCATTGGCACTGCACTGGCTCCTATTGCCCCTACAATCCCGTCTTCTGGCTCCTTTCACCCCTACAGTGCTGTCTTCTGGCTCCTCTCACCCCTACAGTGACGTCTGCTGGCTCCTCTCACCCCTACAATCCCATCTGCTGGCTCCTCTCACCCCTACGATGCCATCTTTCTGATACTGTCTGCATGTACTTGCTTACTCGTGGGTTATCATGGCTCTTGAGCTGTGGCCCAGAGACAGTGAGGAGCTCGTATGCTGTCTGGCCCTCGACCTCTGTGTGTTGGAGACTTTAATGATCATTTGTAGATTTCTTCACAGTGTTTACCCAGAAGTGTAGCAGCTGTGTTGAAGAGCACACAGACCCACACACAGCCCTTCAGGAACTGAGGGTGAGGGAGGGAGGCAGAGGCATGCAGGGGAGCGTGCTGGCTCCAGCTGGTGCTGCCCGTGGTGGGTCCCAGCTCGCTGCCACCTGGTAGCTGTGTGAGCTTCAGAAGCCACTTACCTTAACCTCTTGGTGACTCACTTCCTCCGTCTGTAAATTGGGCAAGGAGACTGCCGACGTAAGAACTGCAGTGAGGATTCCACGGGTTTCTTTATGGAGAGCCACGGAAAGCCTGCTGCACCTTCACTGTCCTCTGCCCACAGCGATTCTAACTCCACACTCTACCCCTCTTCTAACGTTTCCGAGCAGGTTAGGGTGCAGGTGGTCCTAGGCGGAGGCTCGAGCCCTAGGTCCAGGGAGCCTGAGGCCTGTTCGACACCAGCTGGGGGTGGGAGCAGGTTGCTGGCTTTCTGTGCCCTGCACCAAGGCTGCAGGGAGCTGGGCGCTGCATGAAGTCAGGGCCCATGGGGGCCCTGCCTTGGGGCTGGTGCCTGGATGCACGGTCAGAAGGTGCCTGGGGAAGGGCCACCGGGGGCTCCAGAGAAGAAGGTGGCCAGTGGGCCTGGCAGAGCTGGGACAGCCCAGACCCTGAGGGACCCCAGGGGAACCCGAGGGAGTGCACCACAGCCACTAGGAAGGCTGGCCCCACTGGGCTGCCGCCGCTCCTTCCTTAGTAGCACGAAGGCCCCTCTCTACCTGGTGTTGCCTGCTTCCCTGTGGCCTGCTTCATGAATTCCTGCTCATGCTAACTCTCCCTGCTTCATTTCACTGTGCTGCTCTTTTCCAAATGTCTAGGGTTGAATACAACCCATTTCTGTTCACAAATTTCTTTATCTGCTTTTTAAAATATGCTTTTAAACTATTCCTGCACTTCTAAGTGAAGGCTCGGTGGGGCCATGCTCCAGTTTTCATGGGAGATCCTCTCACTGTCATTTATTTCTGAGATGTTTGTAATGTTCTCAGGATGTCTTCTGACTCTAAATCATGAAGGAGTGTGATCTGTTCCTAAGCAGGCCGAAGGCCGGCCGTACTCTGACTCTAAATCATGAAGAAGTGTGATCTGTATCCAAGCAGGCCAAAGGCCGGCCGTACATTTGGATCTGAGCTATCTTTGCATTCCCCTATGGTCATTCAGCATGTGCTAGTTGATGTTCTTTGAAATTTGTGACAAAATTGTGGTGAAATTTTGTAAATATACCATGGGCTTTTCGTAAGAACATATGTTCTTCACTTCTAGGTGCAGGCCTGTATCTCTAGCTGTTCATCGATCATTTTCTTTTTTTTTTTTTTTTTTAAATTTATTTGACAGACAAAGATCACAAGTAGGCAGAGAGGCAGGCAGAGAGAGAGGGGAGGAAGCAGGCTCCCTGCGGAGCAAAGAGCCCGATGCGTGGCTTGATCCCAGGACCCTGAGATCATGACCTGAGCCGAAGGCAGAGGCTTTAACCCACTGAGCCACCCAGGCACCCCCATCGATCATTTTCTGACGCGAGATTCCCTCAAGCAGACCCTGGCTCTGGACCCTTCTCACCCTGGAGCCTAGGGTCCCATTTTCTGCTCACCCTGTCCCCACCCATCGGCCTGCCACCCCCCATGGAAGCAGGGCCAGTAGACCAGGGGCGGCCGTAGGTCAGCAGGGAGGGGAAGAGGGGCCTGCAAATGCTTTAGCTGTGTCTGGCTCACCTGTCTGGTGGCACTGGGCAATGGTTGTTTGGACAAAGTCCTTGATTTTCTTGTACTTCTGTAAAAAAGTCTCCAAGAACAGGGCAGCCTCTTGCACAGTAACTCCAAGGCAAGCAGCCAGCCGCTCCTTCCCTGTGTGGACAGAAATGCTCAAGATCAGGGGCCAGCTCACACCTGTGGGACCAGCAGCCAAGCTGCTAGGCAGCAGCCACCACACGCAGAAGTGAGCCTGCAGAAGGGCCCTTGGAAGACACTGTGAGTTCAGGGCCCACTGGCCCCACTTGTCTCTTCTGATCAGTCAGGATGGTGTTGGCTCTGGCTTTCTGGCTGAGGGCTCAGTGCCCTTTGCCTAGACCGGTAACAGTTAGATGTCTATTCACTCACCGATATTAGCCGAGCGGCTGGCAGGCAGGTGGGTAAAACCGTGACTAATGTCTCTCAGCCTGTCCAGAGGGAGAGCTGACTCCAGAACTGGGCAACACCAGAGAAAGGCCCAGAGGAAAAGAGGAACGGAAAGTTTCATTGTCAAATTGTGAGAAAATGGACTGGAGCTCGCATCCTTGAAATCTTCATTTTGAGACCACTTCTGGTCCAGACCAGTATTTGTTTCCTGGAGGATGCAGGTGTTCTTGTGAGGTTTTTTAGAGCAGAATCTCTGGTGAGGACAGCACCCTGAGGCCCAGCCCAGCCTGCAGGGAGCAGATGCTGAGGCCACACAGACCTGGGTCTGAGTCCAGCTCTGTCACCCACAGGTGGCTCCATGTGGCCTTGAGGAAGTTACGAGACCTGCGATCAATCCTGTTTCTTCACCTATGACTCAAGAACACTAGTCCTTACCTCAGAGGTTGTTAAGGGGACACCTCTGAAGGGATTGACTGAGCTCAGATCCAATCTTCTCTTTAGCCTGAGCTGGCCGATGCTTCTAGGAGTCTGGACAAAAACTGGTCCCATCTTGGGAGAGTGAAGGGGCAGATAGATGTTTGCTTCCACTGCTTGGCTAGGGAGAATGGGAAAGGCTGTGCTCCCCAGAGTCTCTCCTGGCAAAGAGAGCTCTTGGAGCCCTCTGTCCTTGTTCTCACCAAGCTTGCCAAATTATCCCATGCCATTCGGACAGAAACAAAAAAACTCCAATTTCTCTATTAGGGCTTAATTAAAGACCATGTGATAACTTCATGAATACAGACCACTGGAATGATCTGTCTCTAAGTCTTTGTTTCTAGGACATTCCAATCCCTGCCCCTCTGCTACATCACTCTAGTGGAAACCTCCATTGGCTTTCAGAAAGGAGTCAGATGGTGGTTAGACCCCTCCAGCCCATCTGGCTCAGTGGAACCCTGAGTCTTCTCAGCTAAGTCCTTTCTCAAGTCTAATTTACTGGTAAGCCGAATCAGTGTTTTATTTCCGACATTGTAGTTCTCAGTTTTAGAATTTCCGTTTGGTTCTTTCTATTTTCTGAGATTTCCTTTTATTTTCATTCATTAGGGGCGTGTTTTCCTTTATCTCCTTCGGCATAGTTGGAATAATGGCTTTAAAATCCTTGTCTGCTCATTTCAATATCTGGGTCATCTCAGGATTTGCTTCTATCATGACCTTTTCTTTTGAGTGTGGGTCAAATTATCCTATTTCTTCCTATGTGTAGTAATTTGGGATTAAATCCTAGATATTGTGAGTGAAATATTGTGGACACTCTGGATTCTTTTATTTATTTTTTTAAGGAGTATTGATTTTTTATTTATTTTTTAATTTTTTTTTTAAAGATTTTATTTATTTATTTGATAGACAGAGATCACAAGTAGGCAGAGAGGCAGGCAGAGAGAGAGAGGAAGGGAAGCAGGCTCCCCGCTGAGCAGAGAGCCCGATGCGGGGCCCGATCCCAGGACCCTGGGACCATGACCTGAGCCAAAGGCAGAGGCTTAACCCACTGAGCCACCCAGGCGCCCCTGATTTTTTTTTTTAAAGGAGGGAGTTAATGTGGCTGAAGTCAAACTTTGAACTCTGCCCCTCTGCAGTGGGAAGCAGCTGAAATCTCAGAACAGTCCCTTTAGCCTTAGTTGGGCTAACTCTGAAGCCTGCCTAGGGGTTGCCAAAGGTTTGGGCAGAGTTCATACCCAGAATCTGGTGTTCTTTGGCTCCTTTGGCTCTCTTTTTTCTGGAATTTCTCCCTCACTTTCCAGATTCTCTGGTTGCTTCAAACTCTGTCTTCTGTTTCCTCAGGGAAGTGAGACTATGCATTTCTCTTGGAGGGTTAGCTACCCAGCACACTGACCGAGGCCTGTCTTCAGTGAGGAGCTATAAAAAGGGGAACTCAGCCTGAACCATTCCTCCTGAAAGTCACTTTTCAGTACCTTTCTAGAGTTTTTTATTATATATTTTCCATAATTTATAGTTGATTCCTGTGGGAAAGGAGTCTGCTGGGGCCTACTTGGCCATTACACATGTCATACTCTTCCTCCTCAGTACGTGTGGCCCAGAAAGGATTCCCTTGCTGTATTAGGTAGAGATGTTGGGAGATCTGAAGGGCAGTGATTGGCTGAGGCCCTGTACTTGAAAATACCTGTTTACTAGAGGAACAAATAACGCAGCAACTGCTAAAGAAGAAGACAGAGCCTGGGAAAAAGATGGAGGGCCCGGCCCGTTCTCTGATCCCTGTTCCCGCGCCCTCCCCGTGGGCCTGTCACACTCAGAGACCCCCCAGGCAGGATGGCCATTGATGCCATGCGGGCTTGCGTTCCATGCTTCACAGAGACTGGTCCCTTTCACACAACTGTCCTCCGTGCTTTGGTTCACATGTTGGGGTTTTTGAGTTGTAATCACAGGCAGGCTTGTCCCCCTGAAAGCAAGCGTCCTCTGGGGGCGGCAGCAGCATTCCTCAGTTCTGAAATCCTAGATGGACACGCCATGGGCCTTGCCCCACAGATGGCTGATTACACCTTATACCAGGGGCTGCTGTGTTGCACTGTTAGCTTCAGGAAGACGATCCCCATTCCCTTTTCTCCAAGTGTTCTTTTGTCCCTCACATGATTTCTAATAGTTTCTCCCTCTTGTCTGCAGCTCTGGGGCCTCATGAGCGCAGGGCACACCGTGGCCTCTGGGGGGCCGGCTGGTCTGATCAGAGCAGACCCAACTAACTCTCTGTGTCCTTCCGAACTGGCAGCCTGGCCAGCCTCTCCCAGCCCTCCTTGGCACCAGAGATTCTGGGGCACGTGCACTAGTCACTCAGTGCCATCCTCCTGGGCCCACTTGCACATCTCTGGTGACAAATGTCAGCCTCTGGGAGCAGGGGCTGCCTGCTGATTGAATGTGATTGGATGTGGAGGCAAACTTAAACGCTGAACACCTTGAGGAGAATCAAGGGGTAAGCGGACTCCAGGAGCAGGAGGAGCTCAGAGCAAGACTGGAGGAGTCAGGAGGGGCCTATTGGAGGCTGTGCATCTGGATGGGCTCAGAGGGGTCGTGAGCAGGACAGGGCTAGTGTGCACTGTTAGCTGGCAGGTGGCTGAGGGAAGGGCAGTAAGCGGGTGGGTCCCCCTTTGTGCAAGATTCCTGGGGAACTGTGTCTCTGTGGTCACCACCATTCTGGAAGGGATGGCCCTCCTGGCAGAGTCTGGGGGAGTTGTTGGGACCAGGCTGTCCTGCCCGTGGGCTGCAGTGAGGCTGCCCAGATGTGAAGTCCCTCTGGAGCGCCTTCTTTGCTTGTGTCACAGTCCTGCTTCTCCTCAGCTGTCTTTCACTGTGGTCCTCATGCCGATCATTCCGACCCAGCTGGTGCCCCCAGCGTTGGGAGCAGCAGCTTCCAGACCCCCCGTGAAAACACATCACTGCAACCATGAAAGCCAGCTGGTGGGAAGCATCTGGGCTGCGTTTCCAGAGGGCTCCCAGCAGACCAGGAGACCCGACGGGTTCGCCCGTGGGGAGGACAACCCAGCCCTGTGCAGACAGCAGCAGAGGCATGGCAGTCTCCTCTTGAGCGGGCCAGTGACATCAGGAATAGCAGAAACAGAGGCTCAGGGTGGGAACACTGTCACCATCTGGGCTAAAAGCAGCCAAATTACTCTCTTCACCAACATCACGGCTAATGACTCACTGCTTATTTACCAAGTGGAGCTCTTTCCTCTCCAGCAAAAAATAGATTGCATGGTCCAGAAGGTGCCAAACTGCTGTTGGATGCATCCTGCCATCAGCGTGAAGCTGCTCTGAGGGACCTCTGTGCTCCTGTCCCCATGAGTGCCCAGCCAAGGTGAAGCCCCCCCCCCCCAGCCACCCCTTCCCTTCCCCGCACATGGATGCCCGTCACCTGGTGCCCAGTCTGGGTGCCGGTGTGGTGGCTGAGGCCAAAGATGAGAGCCGGCTGGTGCCAGGCACCAGTGCAAGGAGCCAGCTCCTCCCCGACTGGGAGGTGACTGGGGCACGGAGGTGGAAGTCTCTGCAGAAGGTCACCAACCCCGGAGGGACAGACTTAGGACTCCAGCCCAGGCTGCCTGCCAGGAATTGGAGGCAACATTCTGCCCGCAGAGCCTGGATCGAGGACTTGAGGCACCGGGATCTAATATAACTGGGTGGCAGGCTGCCCTCCCCGTCCCCCACCCCCAACAGTGATCTAGAAGGTTCTGGAGCACCGCAGAGGGAGGCCGAGCCGAGGAGCCAGACTGAGTGAGTCTGAGTCACCCTGCTCTCACCCACTGAGTTCAAGTCTTTCAGTTTCTTAGCCTGTTTCCCAAAAACTGTACACAGAATGTATGCACAAGTAGGGTCAAAAGACTATGCAGTTCATGAGTTTGTGCAGTATTTATGGTGTGCCTGCTATGTGCCTGGCCATGGGCAGAGCCAGAAGAGCTCCTGCTTCATGGGGCTCCTTGGGCTGGAAGAATGAGCAGTGCTCCGGGAGAAGCAGGGTGCTTCATGGAGGAGGAGGGTGAGACAGGCGCTGTTCGGGGCCGGGGACCCAAGCTTGGAAAGTGGTGTGCGGCAGAAAGACTCTTGAGTGGCCTCCGTGGTCCTGCCTCCTGGTCTTCACGCTCTCCAGTGACCCTCCCCTGGGGGGTGGGCAGACCTGCGTCTGAGCAGCGACACAGTGACGGTCACACGGACTTGGGACCACAAGGAAGCATGCAGCACTGTGGGGCCGGCTCTGAAGAACACGGGCAGTAGCTCTGCCTACACTGGGGGCCCCTCGCGGCAAGGCCTGAGGGCTGCTAACGTGCTCCTTGGTGGAGCTGCCCGTGAGACCATGGCCCCTGATACTCACCGATGCTGGGTGACCATGAGTGTGTTACCCGGAAATGGATCAATGATACAGCAGTCAGGGACAGCCGAGAAGGGGACAGCAGAACCAAGAGGAAGGCGTGAGGGTGAGCTCTGAGGATGGGGGTCCAGCAGAGGAAGCGGCGTTCAGGGCCTGGGCTGGGAGCCAGGCTGGGTGGCGGGAGGCACGTTCCAGACCCGTTGTATGCAAGTCGCTCATGCCCCGGCATCAAGGTCACATTGCCGAAGTACAAGGTGGGTCTGACAGATAATCGACGACATGTCTGTCCCGATGTTCTTGTACTGGAAGCTGATCCCCTTTTGCTGGCTTTCCTTAAATGAACAAAGGGTCTCCGTGGCAGGGAGATGAATTCTGCTCTTAGTGACTTTGCAAGAGCCTTGTTGCCCAGACAGGACGATCCAAAGAAGGCGGTTGGCACAGGCCAGCCAACAGCCAGATGGACCCTTCCTTCAGGAGGGCTGGCTGGCCCACAGCCCCTTTTCATCCTCTCCCTTGTTGTCCTGAGGGGACGTGATATCCCACTGGTTCAGCATGATGTAGAGGGAGAAAAGAGTTTAAACAGAATTTACGAAGCCATGGTCAGGAGGTTGGAGGGAGAGGGAGGGACGGTGGGAGGGAGCTGAAGGCCAGCTCTGCCTCAAGTCCTGGGTGGTGGGGTGGAGGTCAGGGTCAGGATGAGGTAGCATCTCACAGCCCAGAGATGGCCCCCCAACACGGCCGTATCAGGTAGGGGCAGGCCTATACCCTCGGGCTTTGGCCCTGTCCTATCCCTCCCAGCTGGGCAACTGTGGTCTCCATTCATTTTTGTGCCTCTGTTCTCTCAGTGGGTGGGACACTCAGGGAGCTGATGGCTGTCAGTGGTCTGACTGGTTTCCAGTGCATCCCAGATGTCCTCAGGCTTTTGTAAAAGACACTCAGAAACTCACAAAAGTGAGCTCCGGGGGCCAAGAGCGATCTCTCTAAGGCACAGCCACATTTAAACACAGACGTGGGATAAGAACCAGCTCCATCTGGCCTACAGGTGACACCAAGACCAGCCTGCAGCCTACCTGCTCCATAGATCGCTGAGTACACCACCTTCTTGGTCTGCTCTCTGTCTGCGTGCGTCACTCGCTCTGGGGGAATGTCCTTCCTGCGTGGAAACATGGCGTGTGGTCAGGCCCATCGGTGTCATGTCTGCAGAGGGGGCCATGGAGTCCAAGCTGCACACCACCCACCAGCTCTTTCTCTGCAGGCCCTTAATCATTTCAAACCTGTCCATGGGGAGGGGGGTCCAACACCTGCGCCTTTGCTCACTGGTTCTCCGTGCAGAGGCTGACGTGGAGGCCTAGCGGGTGCAAGCTGGCCACACTCCCACGTGTTGCACACCAAAAACAAAAAGTGCTTTCACCAAAGGAGTACAACCCAACCTGAGGAAAGCCCGCTCCCAGTGCTGGCGTGCCTGGGCCCAGGAGCCCTGAGGATGCCGATGTGGGCGGAGAAGGCTAGAGGGGCAGCATCAGCCTCGCCTTACAGAGATGGAGGGGCAGGTGGGCGAACCCGCCCTGAGGCTGCTGCTCTCAGCTCCTGAAGGCACAGTCTGCAGAGGGTAGAGCCAGATGTGGGAACTGCCCAAGGGCTGCTGGGCGCCCAGAACTTCTCCTTCCTGCCGACCACACGCATGCAGCTGTGTGGCTCAGGGCCACAGGGATTGCTGACTGAGTGGGCACTTCAGATCCAGGAGGGAAACAGAAAAGGAAAAGGGAACCTGTCCCAATCTTTGTGGGTCACTCAGTTCTGGGCTGTGAGCAGCGCTGCCAGAGCCTCCACTTCTGGCAGGCACTGGGCCTAGACACCAGCCCCGAGCAAGCCAGGGGTCTTCTTGGGCCTTCTCCCTGTGTGCGAGCTGCCCCGGGCATGCGTGCTGCTCTCTCAACCTTCTGCTGGACACGGGCGGCTTCAAGGGGCCAGGGAGGTTTTTTTTTTTTTTTAAAGATTTATTTATTTACTCTGGAGGGAGGGGGAGAGAGGAAGAGTGTGTGTGCACGAGTGGGATGGGCAGAGGGAGAGGGAGACATGATCTCCAGCAGACTCCCCATTGAGTGTGGAGCCTGATGCGGGGCTCAATCCCATGACCCAGAAATCACAACCTGAGCTGAAATCAAGAGTCAGACGCTCCACCGACAGGGCTGCCCGGCACCTGGTCCCCCAGAAGCTTTCCCTAGCTGTTCCTCTGCAAGCTTTCTGAGCACGGGTATCTGCCTTGCCTGTCATCCCACACCACAAGTGGTTTCATGCCGTCCACCTCACGGTGCCTTCCCGCAACGCCCTGGCTTGTCTGTTCCAAGGGAGTTCTGAGTTAGGAGAAATCGTGCCCATTGTCAGTCCTTCGGGCAGTCCCCAGGTTTGAACAGACTAGACGCAGAACTCTGCACACAAGGGCTCTGAAAGCAGGCCCTGGGCCCTGTGTGGCGGTGCGCAAAGGGCAAAGGCCACGGAGCTCTCCCACAGTTGCTCTCCTGCAGTTGCCTTTTTCTTGACTCAGCATTTCCTTGGTTGCTGTCAATTGTTGACTGCTTTCCAGAGTCCTGACAAAGTTGGTTCTGGCAACATTTGCTTGATTTTTTGATGTTTCTGCTGGGCGGACAGACCCTCAGGGATGCCCACTTCACCATGTTCACTGGCGTCCGAGAGTTTGCTAATTTTTACCACGTGATTTCTAAGTACCAACTTATGCTTTGTGGTGTTTCCACTGTGTTAAGGTATTTTGCCCACTTGTTTATCTCACCCTTGAGCTTGATATCATTAACTGCTTTATTTAGATATGAAGCAAAAAGCCAACATGCGTTTGTGCTCAGGACAAATATATGTCAACTCCTAGGTCACTGTCCCTCCTCCCTCCCTATATTTGGGAAATCCTATAGGGTGCTCCAAGCCCGCTTAGCAAAGACACTGCTGAAAAACGTGCAGGGGCTGATTTTCCTTGTTTCTTGCCCGGGGCCATCTGTGAAAAGGGGTCAGAAGGACCTTTTGATGGCAGCTGCGGGGAGGGAAGGAGTGAGCGTTTTAGAGCAGGGCAACCACAACCAAGCATCCGGGTCACCTGTCCTTAGTGCTGTCCAGAGTCAAGAGTTGTCTGACAAAGCAGCATTAAACTCTCCTGTAACCTGCTTCTTCCCAAAATGTGATAAGATCCAAACAGCATAATCAATCAATAGGTATTACGAACACATATCAAAACCATGCTCTGATGATAAGGAAAATACTTTCTTCCTGAGTACATACAGCACACTCACAATAACCCATCATACATTAGGACACACAGAAAACATCAAAAGTTTGCACAAAGCAGAAATATTAAAATAACATTCTGATCACAGTGCAAGACAACTAAAAGTTAAAACCAAAGCACTCCCTCCACACACACAAAAAACAGAACAATACAAAAAAACCCAAACCACACCCCATCTACCTAGAAATAAAACAAAAACATTTCGTTTAGACGACTTTTGGGTGAAGAAAAATAAAAAGAGAAATTATGTAACTTCTACTGAAAATATTGCATGTCAGACCCAGTGGATTATATTTAAAGCAGTGAGGAAATTTCATAACCTTAAGCACTTATATTAATAATAACAAAAGAACAAAAGTACAGTTGGCTCTTAAACAACACAGGGGCTAGGGGTGCCGATCCCCTGCACAGTCGAAAATCCATGTTTAACTTCTGACCCACCCCCAACCTTGACTACTAATAGTCTCTTGTTGACAGGAAGTCTTACCCATGACCAATCAACACATAGTCCTCATGTCACATGTATCATATACTGTACTTTTACAATAGAGTAAGTCATGGGAAAAAATGTTATTAAGAAAATCATAAGTGGGGCGCCTGGGTGGTTCAGTGGGTTAAAGCCTCTGCCTTTGGCTCAGGTCATGATCCCAGGGTGCTGGGATCGAGCCCTGCATTGGGCTCTCTGCTCAGTGGGGAGCCTGCTTCCTCCTCTCTCTCTGCCTGCTTCTCTGCCTACTTGTGATCTCTGTCTGTCAAATGAATAAATAAACTCTTAAAAAAAAAAGAAAAGAAAATCTTAAGGAAGAGAAAATACACCTACAGTATTGTCCTGAAGCAAAAAAATCCTCGTGTAAGTGGACCCATGCAGTTCATACCTGTGTTGTTCAAAGCCAACTGTACACCAATTAAGTTTTTAATTCAAAAAACAAGACAAAGAACAACAAATCAAATGAATAGAACATACAGGAGGGAAATAATAAAGCTAGAATAAAGATGGGAACGGATGGGCGCCTGGGTGGCTCAGTGGGTTAAGACGCTGCCTTCGGCTCAGGTCATGATCTCAGGGTCCTGGGATCGAGTCCCGCATCGGGCTTTCTGCTCAGCAGGGAGCCTGCTTCCCTCTCTCTCTCTCTCTCTGCCTGCCTCTCTGTCTACTTGTGATCTCTCCCTGTCAAGTAAATAAATAAAATCTTAAAAAAAAATTATTAAAGATGGGAACGGAAACTGATCAAGTAGAGAATAGCAAAACACTAGATCAAATTAATGAATGAAAATCCTGGTTCCTATAAAAAATAAAATAAACCATTAGTTGGTTTAATCAAAAGGGAACAAGCACAGATATACAAAGTATGAAACAATAAGGGAAGGTAACTATAGATATGCAAGAAGTTAAAAAAAATCTTAAAAAGTTATTTTGCAGAACTGTATGCAAATAAATTAAAAAATTTAGTTTGGGGGTGGAGTCTTTTGGGTTTTCCATATAAAGTACAATGTCATCTGTGAAGAGAGAGAGTTTGACTTCTTCATTGCCAATTGGGATACCTTTTATTTCTCTTTGTTGTCTGATTGCTGTTGCTAGAACTCATATAGCAATTCAGTAATGTGGCAGGATACAAAGTCAATGTACAGAAATCAGTTGCTTTCTTATACACTAACAATGAAAACACAGAAAGGGAAATTAGAAAGTCGATTCCATTTACTATAGCAACCAAGAACCATAAGATACCTGGGAATAAACCTCGATCTGTACTCGAGGAACTATAAAACACTTACGAAAGAAATAGAAGAAGACACAAAAAGATGGAAGACCATTGCATGCTCTTGGATCGGAAGAATAAACATTGTTAAAACGTCTATACTGCCTAGAGCAATCTATACTTTTAATGCCATTCCGATCAAAATTCCACCAGTATTTTTCAAAGAGCTGGAGCAAATAATCCTAAAATTTATGGAATCAGAAGAGACCCCGAATTGCTAAGGAAATGTTGAAAAAGAAAAACAAAACTGGTGGCATCACGTTGCCTGATTTCAAGCTTTACTACAAAGCTGTGATCACCAAGACAGCATGGTACTGGCATAAAAACAGACACATAGACCAGTGGAACAGAGTAGAGAACCCAGATATGGACCCTCAACTCTATGGGCAAATAATCTTCGACAAAGCAGGAAAAAATATACAGTGGAAACAAGACAGTCTCTTCAATAAATGGTGCTGGGAAAATCAGACAGCTATATGTAGAAGAATGAAACTTCACCATTCGAGATAAACTCGAAATGGATAAAAGACCTCAATGTGAGAAAGGAATCCATCAGAATTCTAGAGGAGAACATAGGCAGTAACCTCTTCGATATCAGCCACAGCAACTACTTTCAAGATATGTCTCCAAAGGCAAAGGAAGCAAAAGCGAAAATGAACTTTTGGGAATTCATCAAGATCAAAAGCTTCTGCACAGCAGATGAAACATTCAACAAAACAAAGAGGCAACCCACGGAATGGGAGAAGATATTTGCAAATGACAGTACAGACAAAAGGCTGATATCCAGGATCTATAAAGAACTTCTCAAACTCAACACACACAAAACAGATAATCATGTCAAAAAATGGGCAGAAGACATGAACAGACACTTCTCCAATGAAGACACGCAAATGGCTATCAGACACATGAAAAAATGTTCATCATTACTAGCCATCAGGGAGATTCAAATTAAAACCACATTGAGATACCACCTTACACCAGTTAGAATGGCCAAAATTAGCAAGACAGGAAACAACGTGTGTTGGAAAGGATGTGGAGAAAGGGGAACCCTCTTACACTATTAGTGGGAATGCAAGTTGGTGCAGCCAATTTGGAGAACAGTGT